CTGTGTGACTTTGGGCAAGTTGGTTAACTTCTATGCCTTGGTTTCCCCATCTGGAAAATGGGCACAATATGATAGATCTTACTTGAGTTGCTGGGAGGACTGGATACTACATGTAAAGCGCAGTGTCTGGCGCACGATGAGCGCTCAGGCCAATGCCCCGACCACTGGATGGAGTTCAGAGCCGGGTGCTCTCTGAGCCATCCTGCTGCCTACACGCCGAAGTCAATGCCCCCATGTCCCTTTACAAGCGCAGGGTACGGAGTCCCCAGGGATTTCTCTCCTCTCCAGAACCCCTGCTGCAGCCTGGTCGCCCCGGTTAAAAAAAAAAAACCCAACCCCACTACGCCGCACCCGCAATGCCTCTTAGGGGGACCCCTGGGGCTCAGAGGACGGCACAGGGGGGACATGACCACCCAGGCAACTTGCAGGTGTCGTTCCGGTTAGGCAGAGAGAGCTACGACGCACCTGTCCCGGCGCTCCAGGGCTGCGAGAGCAGCCTCCACCAGCCCGAAGCCCACTCCCGCCCCGGCGCGCGCCCCGCAGTTCCGCGCTCCAGCTGCTGCAGCTGCCAGCACTTCAAGTCTCCGCCGGAGCCTGCTGCAGTGTCGCACAAAGGTGACGCCACTACAGGCGCCCCGAGAATGACGAGCAGCGCCAGTGGGGCCCGGCGGTGGGGGCGGGGCCAGGCGGTGGGGCGGGACTGGGCCCGCCACCTTCTGCTCCAGGTTGGACTCCCCCACATCAGTGGTCCCTCCTCCTCGCTCAGCCCACACCCATCCGTCCCTGCCGTGCCAGGCACTGCCTCAGCCGTCGGCAGCCTCAGCCATCCTGGGCACCCAGCAGGCTGTGCCCGTCCCAGGACCCAATCCAGGGCAGGGGCAGTGCAAGGGCCCCCCTGGCGGAGTGTGGGCGCTGGCTGGGTCCATGCCACCCCCGCGGTCTGCCCTGGGCTGCAGCGGGGCCCCACTCCGGGACGTGCAGGCTGACTGTGCCCGCTGCAGGCCAGCGGCAGACCTTGTCCTTGTCCTCTGCCGGCCTGGCTGGGGCCGTGGGTGTGGGCGGCGTGGTCAGGCTGTCGTCCAGCAGCAGCTCCTTGTGCTTCTCCTTCCTCACGGCGATTTCTTTCCTCCAGCTGTGTGAGCAAGACCGGCCAGAGGCGCCGTGAGCAGCCGGCGGCGCAGAGGCCTCCCGGCTGTGAGCAGCAGTCACCAGTGGACACCCCGCGGGTGTGGCCGCAGCCGGGGGCGACAGACAAAGGCCAGTCTTGTGCTGACAAAGACATTCCTGCAGGGAAGGGCCTTCCCGCTCCATCCTGTGGCTGCCCGCAGCGAGGGCTCGCCCCGGGGGGCCCCCCCAGGCACCCTGGCGGGGCCCACCCCTGGTGCCCTCCCCCAGGGGTCCTCCCCTGCCCCCAGCCACCTCCCGCCTTCCGAGTGCCCAGGCATCGCTGCCCGCGGTCTTGGCCCTGACCAGGCTCCGTCAAACCCACCGCCCAGCCTGGCACGCCGCGGCCTCAGCGCACACCTGGCCTGCTCTGCCTCCCCCAGGCACGCCTGCCCCACCGCCTCCTCGTGGTACGCAGCGGCGTCCCCCAGCCTCAGTTCCGAGCAGATCAGGGCAAGTCTGGGAGAGGCGGAGGGCAGTCAGCGGGCGGCCAGCGGGGAGAGGGCCTCAGCCGCGGGGGGCAGCCCTCTCGCCTGCCCACGGTGCGGCGCTGCTGCGCGCTCAGCGGCCTCTCCTGGGGCAGCGGGCCCGTCGCCAGGGCCTCCCCGCCCCTCCCCTGCGCCCCCTCTCCCTGACACTGGACATTCCCCTAGCCAGGGGAGCTGGGCACCCACGGCCTCCCTGCCGCCCCGCCCGGCCGGCAGCACACTGACTGGAGGTGGTACAGGTCCTGCAGGCTCTTGCTGTCCACCACGCAGCCGGCGATCAGCACGGCCAGCTGCAGGACCGGGACGGCGAGCTCGTGGAGGCCCATCTGCCGCAGGGCCCTGGCCAGGTGGTCCAGGTAGTACAGGGAGCAGGTCTGTGGGGAGCTGTCACTCAGCCCGCGCGGCCTGGCCGGCCAGGGCCCGGGGCCTGCTGGGCGAGCGGCGGCGGGGTCCCTTGTGGGGGTTTTGCAGGGTAGAGACGGAAAGCTGGGTCAAGGGCCCCTGAAAGCTGGGGTGTCCTGGGGGCTGGGGAGTCTGGGGTAGATTTCCCCGGGGGGCTGGGTATCCGTGGGGGGCTGGGGCACACCGCCCCAGTGAGACCCCTAAACTTGGCCCCGGTGCTCCCTGGAATCCCTCCTGGGCGGGCTCACACCCCGGCCCGCCTCGCCCGGGACTGGACGCACCGGCGTCGGGATGCTGGACGGGTTGACGGTGAGGCTGCTCCTGTCCTGCCTGAACACGGCGGCCACCTCCTCGGGGCAGG